AATCTATGGTAATAGTCAAAAACTTTCATTGCTCTGAAGCTATTGGGAAAGGTCTCAATAATTCTAATCCTTTTTGAGCAAAAGGAATTGGGCTTGTGAGAGGAGTGAGTTTAGTTACCAAAGCTCGTGGTATACTTGAGAAGAACTGACATGTCTTGCACTAAGAAACAAGGATTCGACTAAGATAGTGGGCTAGAAGTAGCCTTGCAGAATCGCCTTCTGGGGGTAGAATTTTGGCTCCTGGGTGGTTTCCACATGTTCCCTCATGAATTTCCTTTAGAACATAACTGGCTTCTCCTGGTCGAAGACATCGTAGATAGGGCCCCACATTGCTGCTGTTGTATAGAATCTGATAAAGCTGGTTATTGATCATAAGGTACTTTCGAGCATTTCTTTGTAGACTCCTTGCTTTGGTAGCATTATCTAGCAAGGTCCTTCCTGTTAGATAAGGAATGAACGGGTCCACTCAATAAGGCTTTGTTAAATCTTTAATCTGCATGACGAAGTTGATTGGCACCTCCGTGATGCTAGGATTTTTTAGGATGTTCGTATACACAGGCTCCTAACTTTTCATTGAGCTGGATGACTCGAGTTTGGATAAAGCATCTACCTGAGCGTTAAGGCTTGGGAAACTTTGGCGATTTTGGACTCTTTGAAATTGCCTAAGAGCTTTTTGAGCGCCTTCAAATACTAGATCATTCTCTAGTGTTTGACTTTATAATCTCCCCTTACTTGGTAGATGACAAGTAGCGAGTCAGCCATGATGTAGATAAGCTCGGGCTTAATTGCTAGGGCGGCTCGGAGTCCTACAAAGTGGGCTTCATACTCAGCCACGTTATTTTAGGCTAGAAATTCAAAAGCGATTGAGTATTCATGCGTGGACCCATTGGCGCCACGTAGAACTACTCCAGCTTCACTGCCTCCTTCCCTCCATGATCCGTCCAACTTTAGTAGACACCACAAGGAAAATTCAGCCAAATCATGCTCAAGAGTACCGTATTTTAGGGGAGGAACTACCTTGGTCGCCTTGCAGACTGCAACATTTGGGAGAGGGACCAGCATGAGGAGAGACGGGTCAGCGTCTGTCATGGTTAACTCTATCAAGAAGTCGGCCAAAGGCTAAGCTCTTATGGTCGTTCTAGACTCAAATTACATGTCATATTCACTGAGTCCGACTGATCAGTTGATCATCCTTCCAAAAGTGGTAGGGTTGTAGATAAGTTCCTTCTTTGAAGGCAAGTTCGTCCGCGCCACTACAGTGTAAGCTTGAAAGTAGGGGCTTCACCTCCTAGCCATAATTATGAGGGTAAAGAGGCATCTCGATGAGGGTGTAATTGAGTGCGGCTGCTTTCAGAATCCACCTGACATAATATATAGGCCCGTGTGCATTATCTTCTTCTTAAATAAGGAAAAATCTTGTTGCCTGCTATGAGACTACTAAGTAGAGATACAAAGTTCCTCCTTCTCTGGGTCAGCTTAATAGGGGCTTGATGCTTAAATATCTCTTGAGGTCACTGAAGGCCTCACTGCACTCTGTCGTCTAGTCGTTGCATTCCTTCAACTCCTTGCTTCCTCTCAAAGTTTTGAAGAAGGGAAGACTTCTTTTGATAGATATTGAGAGAAACTGGCCTAACACTGCTATCTTGCCGTTCAGCTTCTAGACGCCTTTCAACGTGCGAGGCTCGAGCATCTGCTCTGTCCGGCTATCTTCTCAAGGTTAATTTTAATGCTATATTGGGTAATCATAAACCCAAGAAATTTACTCGATTGAACACCAAAGATACACTTGGCTGGTTGAGCTTCACGCGCAAGTGTTAGAGGATAGAAAGTTTTTCAAGATCCGACGCATAAGATGTCGCTTTATTTGACTTCATGCAGTAGGCAAGGCACCCATTTATAGCAGATTTAGGTGGGCAATTGTGTAACGTTGGCCGAGTCCAAGCAGCCAGCTTATTCCGCTAATACTTTACATGTGTTAGTTGCGGGTGGTAAGAGTCGCATTAATGATTAATGCGAGTGTGACAGGGAAAGTAATTGCTGACGAGGTCTAACGAGTCGTTAAGACTTTTGGGGTCGATGTAACTATGACGTCCACAGTGTATTTAATGTGAGGGTGATCGACTGTCAGTGGGGGGTTCGAGAATGACCGCTTTTCATCTCGGCTTTGCGAGAGGGTCGATAAAAGAAGCCTTTTAATTCGGTCATTTTGGATTGAGAGCTACTTTACTCGATCTTACAAAATAAAGAGGCGTGGAGTCCATTCTAACAGCAGGGTCCGAGTGAGGACGCCTTTCGACTTGATCCTTCTTGGGAAGGGTCGAGTGATGATGTCATTTGAGTTGTCCTGCATAGGGTCGAGTCAATTTGATGCATAGTTTACTCGAGACACGTGTCAACACATGGAGTGGGATTAACACTTGGTCATTTCTATGTTATATCTGTTTCTTTATATAAGATTTTATAGCTTTTGCACTAGTTGCTTTTCAACCAAACACTAATTTGTATTAGAAATATATTTCCCACAATGTAATTGTGGATATCCAAATAATGAATTTAAAGTTAATTTCCTCAAGCAACCTTCGCCCCCTTGAGACCCAACGCTTACACATTTTTTAACATTTGTACCCTAAAGATTCCATTTTTTAACTTTCATACCACAAAGTTTACAAATCTTTAACTTTGACACCCTAAAGTTGGGCATCAAAACGTCAAAAAAGTAGTTTGGGGGTAACAATTTCAAAATGAAAAGGGTGTAAACTTTGTGCTAAATTTCATGGGGTTTAGTGTCATTTACCCTATATTAAATTACTCCTTTATTCTTTTTTTTTTTAATTTCTCGGTTATATTTTACAAAGGACATGTTGATCATTTCATTTTTAACAGATATCATGGTCAAGGTGTACATAGTAAAACTTCACAGTTTAGGAGGGTTGCAAAGTTTATTGGTTCTAGATAAAAGAACCTAAAGCGTTGTTTGCAAAATTCCCAAAATATCGGGTGTTAAGTGAAATTTATCCAAAGATATTCTTTACACCTTGATTAAAAAAAGGAAAAAAAAAAAAAGCTCATTGCAACCTTTACATGAGGAGGAGCAAGAGGATAAGGTAGTATTCTCACCTTGAAGACTGGTTTCCAATTCAAATGACAAAATAATTCCCCTTAAATAAAATAACGATACAAAGTAAGACCCGTAACATGTCCATCACAAACACAAAAGAATATTTTATTTTTGTCTACCTATTCATTATGTTTTTCTCTCTATATAAATAAAAGAAGAGTTCAAGTTTTCCCCAACATGAATTGGAAAAAAAAGAGGAAAGTACTCCCAGTTTTGAAATATTTTCTGTACCTACCTAATCTTATTATAGCGAATAAATTATCCGATGCAAACTATTAAAGGCACATGAAGCGTGAGCTTTTACGTCTTCACAGCTAAGCCTCATGCATGTATCTAAGCCTAACAAAATTGACAAAAAACAGAAAAAAAAAGAAGAAAAAACTATGCATGCATATAATTTATCAGTGAAAACGAGGTCTGACTACTTGACCTCATTATCCAGCCCGTTTGGATTGCCGAAGATTGTTGGGTGTTTCTGACAGCTTGCGGCTTTCCGTCCAAAACGCTGCAAAATTGAGCGAATTGGGTGGAAAGCTGGAATATGTCAGTGAAATGGGTGGGGGTAGCATCAGAAAAAAAATTGACGCTCTGACACACTATGTCAGATTTTAACTCCTTTCCGTCTCAAAAAACTTTAACCAAACGCGCCCAATTAATAGTCTTTTGCTAAAGTTTTTATCCTTAATCCTTAAATAATAAATAGATGATGGTCGCAAGTGGGCCATGATGCTGAAAATGGGCCCCCGCCCACCATCCGCATAATATCTATTTTTACAGCGTCCGTTTGACCTTCGAGTGGGGTCCACTGGCATTTTATATACGGGCCCTCTCGTTAATCGAAGTTTGATTGATAATCTGGTCATTTTATATACGGATGCTTCCTTTTCAAGACATGAAAGTTCAGTGATTTTATAATTCTACCCAACAATCACGTGTTTTGTTAAACAAAAATAAGACTTCATAACACTGCTCGGAGTGAGGCCCGAGTTCATGCCTCAAATTCTTCCCACAGGGAGTAGAGTGCAAATACTACCTGCGGTAAAAATTCAGCTCATTTCGCAATACAATCCATCGGAGAGGGGACAATTTTTCAAAACCACCCTATTTGAACATTTAATCCCAAAAAACAACCTGTTTTGAACTTATTTGCAAAAAACCGACCTGGTTTCAGCCTTGGCGCTGAAACAGGCTAAAACCGGGTCGGTTTTTGTGAAAAAGCTTCCGAAACTTCACGGGAGTTAAACTCCCGTGAAGTTTAGTAAAGCTGCTAAGTTTCGGATTTTTTTTTTAAAACCGACCTGGTTTCAGTGTCAGGGCTGAAACCATATCGGTTCTTGAAAATAAGTTCAAAACAGGTCTTTTTTTGGGAGTAAATGTGGAAAAAGGTTGGTTTTGAAAATTCGTTGGAGAGGATAAAACTTTGCTTAGGGCCCAGAAGGCAATATAAAATTGTCAGGGTCTATAAAGAATAATCGAAACATTATCCTCGTATATTCCAAGGCACCGTACGATTCCGTCCCTGCAAAAGGAATCAGACGGCTGATCTCCTTCCCGCAACTAAAAACTGCTCCGGCGGAGCATTTTACCGCTCCCGACGGCGACACCCACCCACCCGCAGACCCGGCCCAATACGGACCCGCTTTCTCTGCTTCC